ATCTTGCCAGATTATTTATTACTTCGACACTCTTGCACTTGGAAGAAGACATCAATCTTTTAGTCGTGTCAATGGTTATTTGCCTATTTTTTTTTTTTAAAAAAAAAAGGCAGACGATTTCTTATCCACTCCTTTAAATGAGAAAAAAAAATGCAAGCATAGGCGTGAGGGTTTGTGCTTGATGGCTTATAATCTTAGGCTATTCCATTCATACGCTTAGGGCACTGGGCCACGGGTTGCACTGCCATATTATTTTTTAGATTAATTTTTGTTGTTTTTTCTTTTAGTATATTTAGGTTAATTATATATTTATATAATTATTTTTAACCTGGTTGAGTTTATAGCCCTAATCATAGGCTCGATTGGTTAAGCCACAACATCTAGTCTATTATTTTTTTTGTTCAATGTATTTTTTGCCCCTCACTAAAAAAGAAGAAGAAGAAGCAATTTTATTATTTGTTGTTGATGATCTATTTTTTTTTATTTAACTTGCAAAAATACAATTTAATCTTTTTATTTAATAATCTGTTTTTGCTATCTCAATCTCATACACCCATCATGATTTTTTCTTCTTTTAAAAATAATATTTTATTAAAAAAAATCCTCATGCTTTTTTTATATAAATCTATTGAATAAAAAATAATCTCTAAGATAAAATAATTATTGAATCTAATGGCATTAACGACTTTCGTCATGATATTGGTTGTTTGGCTCGAGTTTAATTTTTTTTTAAAAAAATTCATTTTTGTTTTTGACTAATTTTGTTCTTTAACATTGAGATAGTTGTATAGTTAACTTTTTAGTTTATTTTTTTAAGATTTTCCCTAATAAATTTCATATGTTAATCTAAATTGATACATATAGTTTAAATGCATTGTCTTAGTATTAAAAAAAATATTTAATAAGTGTTTAATTTGAAGTTTATGATTACAATCTATATTTATTAAAAAAAAATATTAAAAGTACTTAAATTCTTTTTCTCGTCTGATTTTTTTTGCTTTGAAATCGTGCCACAACTCAGCCAATGAGCTTATGAGTTTTATTTTAATATACTTTTTGTTAAAAAAATACTTTAATAAACAACCATAATTATATTTTTTAAAAAAAAAATTTAAAAAAATCTCATGCTACTTTTTGTTAAAAAAATACTTTAATAAATAACCACAATTATATTTTAAAAAAAAAAAAAATTTAAAAAATCTCAATGGACATTGAAAAATGAAGTGCATGTGCCAATTGGGTAGAGACAATGTAGAATTTGCCAAGAAAGTCAAAGCAACAAATAGAGATTGAAAGAGTCAAACTCAATCTCCCACAATCACGCATGGTTTTACAGCCAAGAAATTTGTGTTACAAAAGAAGAGCAAACACAAAGAGACAGAGAAGGAGGGCAAAAAAACAAAAAGGCGGAGAGTGCAAATGCATTGCAGTCTCCCTTTTTTGGATCTCTCAGAATAAAATAAGAACCAATTAATAATTGATATCCAACACACCCTTTTCTTCCATTTGACGATTGATATATGTGTCTATATCTTAGACCTAACTAAATCGTGTGTTTCTGCCAGAGATCTTGCCATGGAAAATGCTAGCCGCGTTCGAGCATTTTCATCTCCTGAATTGCTACCGCTTCCAGCAAGCTCGACTGAAGGGGCAGAAGATTATAGCTTAGAAGGTGATTGCATTTTCTTTTTCCTTTTCTTCCTTCTTGCTTCTGCTGATCAAGAGAATTAAACAGATCCATGACATGCCACTAGATCATAGATATTGGCAGGAAATAAATTAAGAAATATCCTGCTGCTTTGAAACTTTTGCATTCAATATGGTATATAGCGTATTAAACTCATGGAAAAAAAAATGATTAAGGGAGTTTCCCATGAGGCTTCGTATTAGCAATTAGCAGCATGCATCGAGCTATTTTTCTTTGTTGGATAGAAGTAACTTGTTCTTCCTATTTGTACATAAATTCTCTTCTGCCGGTATAGGTGTTGCAACAAACGTGAAGCTACTACTAAAACTAATCCAGGATCACAACGAAGCTAGCACAAAGGACAACGATGACCGTAAAATGCGAAGGTTCGCTGGAATGGTGTCCATTCTGGATGATGTTAAGTTCCGAATCCAAAAATATCAATCTGGGAAGAAGAAGGCACCTCAGCTTAGGCGGTGCAACACGGATCTTAGACGGAGTCAAGCTCCAGCAGACAAGAAACCGCAAGAATCTGTAGTTGACGAGAAAGAGCGGTTAAGGAAGCAGCTAAATGCAAGCATGGCGGCTCGAAAGAGCCTAGAAATGATGTGTTCAAGCTTGGGAAAGGAAAAGGAAATTATGGCAGCCGAGATTGCAAGAAAAGTTCATGAATTGAATGAAGCGGAGGAGCTGGTCAATGACCTCAAAGCCCAAAATGAGACATTGATGGCAAAACTTCAAGCTCGTGCTCCGCAGAAGAAAAGTACTAATAGCGGAGGAGAAGCTCAAGGAAATGCAGCACTTCAGGAGCGTAACCGGACGCTTTCGGAGCAACTCCTCAAGTCCCTTGATAGCTGTCGATCTTTAAAGAGAAAATACAAAGTTGCAAAAGAGGAAAACAGTGGAATTTGCGCTACAATGGATGTGATTAAGATGGAAATAGGTGCTGGGCTTGAAAAAATACGTAGCTTTAGGAGCAGAGTGGCCATAAGCAAAGATATTGAAGAGGAGATTTCAGCATTAGAGCAAATGTTTGAGGGTTTTGATACGAAGATCTCAAAACATAGGGACATTGAATGTGCTAAACCAAAAGCTGCGATCAATACTAGCAAGCCTCCTGTTCTTGAATAATATGAAGAAGAAAGGATGTTTTATTTTCCCCAGAGGAGGACAATACACTTAGGTATCTTCAATTATTTATAATGAGGGAAGCAGTTGTATCATATCCAAGTAGACATGATTAGTGATGCTGCTCGAATGTCCATGTACAATTGCCTGATTCAGTTTTTCGGTGTACTCCCTAAACAGCTGTGCAATTCCAAAAGTTTTTTTTTTTGCTGTATCTTGAGTCGCAGGATGCTCTTAGAATAAGTTCTTAAGGTTTCTGATGCATCTCATTGTAATGGATCCGTTATTGTGGTAAGCAATTCTCTACATATATTCAGTAATTATTAATTAATGATCTTAGTGTTGAATGTTGAACTTGTTTTGTGAAAGGTAGTAGTATCATGAAGTTACTGTAGACTAAACTTGAACAATTCAGTTAAGAATATTGAAGATCAACCACAACAATTGACTTTACAAGAACAATAAGAGCAAAAGAATGAAGAAGAGTTCCAGGTTGCACCTTATTTACCTCCTTAGGCTGATAGTACAACTGGATCCTAAAGTTCAGTTCTAAGGAAGACAAAAAGCATACTGGAGATATACAATGTCACTCAAAGAATTAATCATGATAATGCTATTTGTTTAGAAGTGATGATTCTATTACATTTTAAAAAGCTTCCCAGGAAGCTAAATGGAAGAAGACAATAAAGAAGGAGATAAGTGCTCTTAACAAAAATAGCACATGGAGAAGTATAAAGTGATGTGATTCATTAGGTACCAAATTTATTAGAGGTATCAATTGAATCTATTATACAATTTAAAACTAAAAGGAAGAATTGATTGGGTTGATTATAAATATTTTGATTTTAGGGTTATTTAATTTGTTTATATTAATTAAATAAGAGATTTTGATTTCATAATAATATTTTGTGTGTGAGAAATTGATCATACTTTAGTTTTTTCATTAAACTCTTTGATTTATCAAAAATTAAATGTTTTTGTAGTGTTCTTTTAATATATATTTTTAGTTTTTGATTCCCTATAATAATAAGATTGAGGCCTTTCATCCAAAAATCTTAATTTCTTAGTTCAAGTAATTATTGGGTTAGGTTTTTATTAATATGATTTAAGTTTTATTAGGTTAATTATATCTTGTTTATGGATTCTAGAATTCTTACTATAAAAACATGAGTATATTATTATGAAAAGGTAAAATTAAATGAAACATGAGTGGAATAATATTACATTAAATGTATAATATGAAGGTGTGTGATGAAATTTTTTTTTATTAACATAAAATTTGAGATTTAATAATGTCTTCCATAAGTTTTACAATAAGAAGTGTTAAGAGAAATATAGGCTCGTAGATGTAAAGGCTAACGATTAAGAAACTTGTATAAGATTCATCAAGTACAATGGTGAACTTATAAGAAAAAATAAATAATCTAATTGACAAATAGGAAGCTAGCGAACGATACTAACATGATGCAAAACATTCAAGTGATATTGCACCTTTAAAAGAATTCAAAAATTAATTCAAAGGAGTGAAAGTCTACTAGATTCATATACTAGGAAGATAACATTGAACAAAAGGTTGATCAACAAGACATGAGAGATTTGTGTCATATTAATTAGTACTTAAAAGTGTATTTTTATCAAGATTTTATATCATCATTTTGTATTTGAAGTATTAATAACTCCTTAACTAAAGCATGTTTTATAACAACAAGTATGATACCATAAGATACCTTTTAATTTATGGTAAATATTCATCTTAAATACAGTGTTATGACATAAATAAAAGGATTGATTGATGAGTTAAAGTACTGAAATTGAAATGATAAAAAGAGAGTAAAGCTTAGAAAAGACATGATGGTTTAGTCCAAACTGAAACACTGTTAGGTAATTGGATCATAACTGAAGCTGTAGAACTTGGATTTAGATTTGCTTTATATAGATGAAAGACTTGGATTTAGGTTTGCTTTATATAGATGAAAACTAAGATATAAGCCTAAAATTTTTATGGAAAAACAAGACTCAATTCTACTGTTTGGAAGTTCAAATCTTAACAACAACGTAGAAGTCCAAATCTGGTCTGTAGCCCAGATATTGTTCAATATTCAGCCCATATCTCGAGTTCTAGAAGTCCAAATGACCACAATTTTTTATCCTAGAAAGCTGAGACAATTTTCTAGAACTTTCATGAGTAAGGTTGGTTCAAATTCTGATGTTATCAATGATTGATTAGTACTTAAAAGTGCATTTTTATCATGGTTTTATATCATCATTTTGCACTTGAA